CTCTCAATAGTCCATGTTTTTATACTCAAATTTCGAAAGTCCGTCTTTTCTTTAAACATAACAGGCAGGCATCCAAATAAAATGCGAATACAAATTTCTTTGCAGAATCTGCGCAGATTTACTAGAAAAATCGGTACGAATCTTGTGTACCTATTGTAATAAAGATTTGCATTACATAAATATCCCTCAGGGAGAAAAATAATGTTCTTGTCTTTGAAGTTAAAACGATATTTAAACAAAGGAGAGCGAGACAGAATAAATGAGAAAATCATTCACACGTTATTTGTTTGATGTATGTCTACCTTTTGGACTACCGGATAATGAAAGTTAGTTTAGTACATAATAATTATACCATAGCGACGTTTGATACCTATAGTTGGTAAGAAACACAGATCGACCGGAGAAAGACCAATTAAATTTAAGTTATAGTTGTCTTTAGGGAAACTATATGTCTGTTGGATGTACATAACTGATTAGTTATCGGGCGACAATATAAATATTTTGTTAAATAGACTCTAAACAAAACTTTCATGACATGTTGTCATCCATGTTGCAATCCATAACAAAAAAGATTTTCTTTATTCTTCAACTTATAAAGTGTTTTTCTATTATTCCCAATGAAGTTATGGTCAAACGACGTTCATGGCTGGAATGTCGTAGTTATTGGGAGCTATTCAAGGTAGTTATTAGTAGACGTCTTTTGGGAGTAGCACTAACTGACTTAAAATGAATTTTAAATAATGTGATGTACTATCTACATAAAAAAACTGTTTTGGGTTTAAAAAATAATTCTTTTTTTGTATTAAATATGTGTATAGTCTTTCTAGAAACAGTTCAAACTGTCAGTTCCTGTCTCGAAAACAAGTTTGACATACTGCAGCTGTTAATCAGTGTATTATCAAATTTCTATTCGGATAAGATCTGTTTGTTTTTTTGTGATGAATTCAACATTGAAAGGGTGAAAAATAATCTGTTCAAGTGACTGGAACACGTAGTATGAAGAGAATTGCGTATTTCTGCTATCGGAGTGTCAATGTGTTAATGTGTCAATGTTTAGACGTTTTCAAGAGTTATACTCTTTGGCGATACTCCTTGTGAATATTGTAGAATAAACAAAAAGAGCAAAAAGCGGTAACGCATTGACACTCCGGTAGCAGAGTTACGCGATTGGTATCTATTTCAAAATACAATGTAGTCAGATTTTTTTCTCCAATGTTGTCAATGTCGTTTAAAAGTCTCCGAATAACGCGTTTCTCGATATAGCCGTTTATTCGCGACAAGTCAACAACTTTTTTGTACATTTCGAGTTCTCAAAAAGTCGTCCATCAGTCGCAATTAGTTGGCAATTTTTTGCTGTTTTCTCATTCATCGTTTTGTTTTGTAGCTGAATATAAGAAACATGAATTTTGATAGCAGTTACCACTTTTGTTTAGATTAGGAACATGCTTAGAGTGTTCTCCATGATCTCCTCACAGTTGACTCATTGTTTCGATATGAGTCAGCTGTGAACCAAGGAGCCTGGCTAATGGCTAGCGTCTGGGTAGTGTGTAACACTGACTCGTCTAAGTGAGTCAGTCTGAGTCGGCACTGTCATAAGACAATCCATAAAGTGCAAACGAATAACAAAAAAGTCTGATCCAGGTATCTGCAACAGAAAGGGGGTAAAAAACGCTGTTTAGTTGCGACTAATAGTCGGAAGTCGGTAAAAAGCCGCAGAATAAGCACGAGATAGTACCTCAACGATCAAACACCAAATCACGTAAAAGTCGCCCATTTTTACCACATGGGTTAAGAGCTAAACGTTCAAGACACAGGATTCAGTGTTGTTCCCTAATTGCAAGAGTAATAAAAATAAATAAAGTGATATGTTTCTATTTCTTTTTCAAATCACCTGTAAGCAATTTACAAAAATACTGTTTCTTTTGTAAGCGTACCCACTGTGATGATAGAAATATGATAGAATCACACCTGATCACTGGAAGCGATAGATTCAGCAGATCTTTCTTATTCTTCCCACTGAAAACCTTTTTTTCGAACCCTGGCGTGGAAAAAAAGTTAACACGCAGTATTTGGAAAAAATACTTTCAGTCGGTAAGCAAAAAAACGTTTTTGATGTCAGCTACTAAAAGACCGTACTTATCTTCACTAGGTATACACCTGATACGAGAACTGGAGGATTATGTAGAATTTGTCCCGAGAGCGTTGTGGGCTATATAACAGGCTATTTGTTTCGCAGTGTCCCGACGTTCAGTACTATATTTTACATTCCTCTATGGACATGTCGACAAAGTTATCTGCCTAGATTCTTTGATCAAACGCAGTTTTTTTTGTTACAAGCTTTTGCACTAGCAATGGTTTTTTCATGTATCCATGGCTATGCCAGAATAAACTGAACTGAACTGAATATCTTTCTGGATATGACCTGTCTGTTTTTTCCGTTTATTTTCTTATCCCTATTAGACGTTTAGACCTTTTCCTGCCTTTAGTCTTTTACTTCTCTTAGTGTTTTTTTTCCCTTTCCAACACACCAAATACGACGGTTCTGGTATTATTAAGGTTCTGTAAAACAAACCCGGTTTTTCTTAGGATCTTCATTCACACAAGTCTAGAACATCTATCTAGCTTCGATTGTGGTATACTTATCACAGAAACAACGTTATCAAGACGATCCATGACATCTGAGAAGCTCAGTATTAGGTGAGAACATCGGCTTTTGTTCATGCTAAATCTAGTTACAATGTTGTAGAGAAAAAAAGGAGGTTTGAGAAAAATATCTCAAATGTTAACAATACAACTTAAAAACTCTGTATCTTATTTAAAATCTAATCAAACCATGTATAATAATCAGAAAATATTGTATTACACTTGACTTGTATATTAACAGTGCCAGACTTAACCTGAAATATTTTTCATATTGTAAATATTCGTTGTACTTAACTATCACCATACTTTAATGTTTCCAACATTTTGATGATCATAAGTAAGCACGGCTTTTTTTATGCACTTTCTAATCTTGTCCGCCTTTCCTCTTTCTGTTTGAATAATAAGCACTATACATTCTGTAAGATTATTGGTAGCCAACGTCTGATGTTTTATTTTCCATTGAAATTAATTGTTGAAGAATAACGCATGCATGCAATAATTTGCTTTTCAAAATTCGTCTACCTATTTAATTATAATTAATCTGTGGGAAGTACAAACTTCTACATTTACATACACTATCATTTTTTTTTAAAGAATGTGTGTGTATCTTGAGAGTAGAATCTCTCTTTGTTCATAATTTTATCACATAATATATTAATGAAATAGTATAATTTTTTCTTAATTAAAAAAAAAGGAAAACCAATTTTCTTCATGTTTAAATTAGCTCTTTATTATGGATAGAAAAAATTTGCTCAAAAATAAAAATGTTGATGATAAGACGATTTAAAATAATCAGCTGATAATTATTTCTTGCATGATAACTAACTAACTGGTCGTTTTTTTTTTCTTCTTCTACTTTAGTTACATTTTCTTTTGTGTTTCAATTATAATAAAGAGCATCATAAAGCGGAAGAATCCATGTTTGATATACACTATATACTTATTGATCATCATACGGTTCACTTTCTATACTACTCAAAGTAACAATTTCCTTTGAACTTGTCCATAAAATACGATGCTATTCCAGAGAGTATTCAAAAAACACCCACAAACTTATTATTTTAATCTCGGAAACGTCAAAATAGTTAGTTATCTGTGATAAAAGCTACTCATTCATCGATGGTCTTCAAGATACACTTTTTTTCTTTTCTCTATGAGATTAATCCATAGTAAGATAAAGATTCTTTTCTTTTTTCAATTGTCCTAGAAAATATGTATTATAGTATAGAAAGTGTAAGAGAAACAAATACTCATTGTTATTTGAACTCCAAGGATTTCAAAATCAATCTACATTTGACTTGAAAATCATTTGCTTTTGAAACATAACAATAAGAACTTTATTGTGTTGAAAATAATCTTTAATAATTTTTTTTTTTAATCATTAATTATGTGAATATAACCATAGAATAACTATCTTTATAGAAAATTTTCTTTTCTTCGTCATAAATAGTTCGTCATTTAATTTTAGAAATATAATTTTATCATTTATTATTTTGGAAAAATTTCTTTACAACTAATTAGTTTTTAAGTTGTTTTTTTTTTTTTTTTCTTTTGTTTTTAATCAATAAATTTTAGAAAGAAAGAAGAATATGATCATTTTTAATGATATACTACATGTTAATATTCTAAGAAAAACAATGGTATAGTATGTTAAGATAAATAATGAAGTTATAATATCTGTTACATATGGATTAATGTTTTTATATTCTTACTACAATTAGTGTACATGTCAAAAACGAGAAATTTTATGTAATTCACTTCTTTTGTATCAAAGGAATAAAAGAATTCTCCGTGCTAATTGGCATACACGCGAACGTTTTTTTTTTGTCGATTCGTAATAATAATTAACATACACAGACATACTAATATAAGAAGAAATGAAAAGGAAAACATGGATTTTTTCCCACAATCGTCAAATCATTTCATTTTTTTTTTTTTTCTACAATTATTTTATGCAGTCTAGTGGATTTCTTCTATTTTCTATGTTAAAGAGGCGAAAGAACGGAGAAGAAAAGAGAGGAAACAGCAGGTGTAAAAAGAAAAATATGAAAGTTAAACGATAATATAGTGTGGTTGTCTTTAATTTTCTGTTTCTTCTTCTCTTTTCTTTAGTATAGTATTTCTTTAGTAATTTAAGTTAATATATTATCGTATAAATAAAAATGTGTATGAGAGAGAGAGAGAGACCGAGAGAGAGAGAGAGAGAGAGAGAGAATCGAAGAAATTAAAGAGCGTAAATCCATATAATTTATTATCAATGTTCTTTCGTCTTTTTGTTTTAGTCTCGGCTAAGAAAATGTCATTTTGCTTTTGTATTACTAAAATTTTATTGCTTTCATTTGTCAGTGACAAATTAAATGGATACTATCAATTATACTAATTATTCTAAATCAACTCAAACTATTGGTGTACTTGGTGGTAGTGGTCATAGTGGACAAGGTGGTGGAGGATCGGATAATGAATGGCTTGGTCGTATTACAAATATTTTATGTTTAGTTATATTTGTATTAGCCGTTCTAGGCAATTTTCTTGCATTATTAGTCATGTTTGGAAATCGAAAACCGATACGTTCTGCTACAAATTTATTTTTGGTTAATTTAGCTTGTTCAGATTTATTACGTAGTGTTTTTATGCCATTTACAATTGTAGCAAGAATGCAACGTGATTGGTATTTTAAATATGGTGATATATTATGTAAAATTATTCCTGTTGTACAAGGTAAGAAAATTTCTTTATTTTTTCACATATAATAAAATATTAGAATAAAAGAAATAGTAATTTAAAATTTATTTTTATGAATGAAACAATTGACAAAGTGTAGTGATATATTGTTTAGAAAATTTTTTAATTTGAACAAAAAACAAATTTTCATGTGTTTGTTTTCCTTATACTTTGAAAAAGTAGCATATTGATATACCTTGTAAATGAGTTTTACTGATGATAAATGATGAGAAATATCTAATTTTTTTTTATTTTTATAATACATATTAATTTCAGTATATTATCAACACGCTTGGTCTCCTGTCAAAAAATCATCGCATGACAGATAAATGAAGACATTAGTCTTCTGACATCACTGATCAACTAAAAAAGCAAAAATCTAAGCTTAAAATTTCGTGCAATGACTATCACAACATGGCTAATTTGCTGATGATATCGTCGTTTATAATGCATTAAAGATCAAAGTTTTTTTTCTCAAGTATAAATCATAGGTATAGTTAACAAAACTATCATGTTCAATTGAAATAATAGGATTCTTGTCATAAAAAAAAACAAAATAATTATATAAAGTAGACAAACATGAAATACTTTCAAATTATAGAAATTAGAAATCTCTTCAAGACTCATTAGTCGACTGTATAAGGCTAATAATAATTATTGTTCTACGTAGTTTTATTACATTAAAAAAAAATAAGTAGAATATAAAGTATCAATTCTAAAATGTCATGTTGATATGATACGGATAGAGGCCAAAAAGCAAACATTAACAGTTTTTCACTTCCAATTCGATTTTTAAAATCTCTTTTTATAGAAAAATACGTTTCTTTTCATCATCTGACACAATTGGTCAATTTTGTATACCACATTTATGAGATTAGTATTGAATATGAAAAAAAAGTGTGCTTTTTTTCATTATTTTGTACTTTATTCCTTTGAAATCTGATAGCATGATGCTATCACAAGTGATATGACGCTTATTTATAACGTAAAAATAAATTGCGTTTAAGAAATATCGATTTAACATGACTTAAGACAATGGATATTAGTAAAAAGTTAAAAATTTCTTGTTGAAAATATTGAACATCTTTTTTGATATACAGTTTTTATAAATTGTACATTTTAGAGTTTTACATGTCATTGCTCCTTTGCAGTTTTCTTTAAAATATTATGTATATATAAATATTATTTTCTCATTTCTGATGATCACTCCATATTTTTACTTAATCCATGTAATCTCTTGAGATTGTGAAATGTTTTTCTTGACATTTGACTACAATAGATTGAACTAAAATATTTCGATTTTATCTTTACTACTTTTCATAGAGAAAACAGAAATACAACTTAAAAAATATTGTCAATACGGCGGTATATGAATAAAGAGTATTTGATGTATTAGATCTATTCTATTTAATTAAATTATGTATGTAACTATTTTTTCTGCTTACAAAACGTTTTTTGAAAAGCGTAAATTTTCTTTTTATTGAAGTATAATTACAGATATATATACATATTGTGAATATTCGTGTAGAAAACGTCCGATTAGTCTTTATTTTCTTTATAGATATAATAAAGCTCATTGTCATGTCGTTTCTTTTCAATTCATTTCCCTTTTTTTCTGTCATGTAGATTATGTAATTATTTACTAGTAGAAATCATTCTTACGTATTATTAATAAAGATTCTAATCATCGTAAGACGGATGCATATGTTTAACCGTAATTTATAGATTAAAAGTTTATTTTAGGTCAAAAAAAAAAAATGAATCATGATACATCCTAGATATAGGATAATTTAATCATTAGTTCAGCATATGTTAAAGAAATAGAGGACATTATTATCTGTTGATGCAAAAACAACAACAGAACGGAAATTAACTCATAACAAATTTCGTTTGCGTACAATTTCAAGGACAATTCTCTCACCATTTTTTTCCTATACAAAATAGAACAGATTTTCTTTTTTTCTTACATTCCATACTATATAATATACCATAAATTTGCCAGACAAAAGCTTTCATTCATTTTGGAATCTCATATAACATTTACAGTTATAAGTCATTTATTTATAAAAAGATCAATATAGAGTAGATTTGGAGTGTTTAATAGTTTTAGAACTGAACGATGGTTTCAAGGGTATCAAAATGAGGTAGTGAACGTTTAAGTAGTACTGAAAAACAGGTATCACATATAAAACTATCATTATCGACTATTTTATTCTTGTATAAGTGTCATACAGGTTGTATTGACAATATTTTAAGTTGTATTTCTGTTTTCTCTATGAAAAGTGGTCGACGATAAAATCAAAATAATTTTAGTCCAATGTCGAGAATTAAAATAGAACATCTCATCAGTCTCAAGAGATTATATGGATTGAGTGAAAATATGAAATGATCATCAGAAACGAGAAACTAATATATATACATAATATTTTAAAGAGAAAACGTATACTCATTTATTAAAATTCAAAAGTTTCACATTGTTTAGAGTTTTCAGTTCGTTTCGATATAATCAGGAATTTTTTGAGGATAAAGACTCTGTTTCGATTTTTTAATCCTTTAAATTTAATAGAAAGATTATTGAGAATATGCTCTGAAGGAACAAATATGTTTTACACATTTTGAACCGTTTGTGTTGGTTCAACATGTTTTTATAAATCAGAAAAATACGGGTTCGCTCCTGGATACATTAGAGTTTCATTTCTCACTGAAAATTCCAACCGTAATACTTGTAATTAACATAGTCGATTGTATTAAGACGATAATTTTTTTGCCAAAATGTAGAAAGAAAAGTTTCGAGAGATTCCTCGCAGAATTACAGACATTAAAAAATCTAATTTTATTTGGATTTTTAGTGAAAAATGACGACGATACGTTCTCTAATAATTTAGCCTAATTTCAGTAAAACATAGATTTTCAGAACACTTCTAGAGTAAAATCAGCAAAAAAGCTAAAAATTCTTACAGAAACAAAATGGTTCTTTTTTTAACTATACAGAATAATGTTGAGTAGGTTTAAGAATGCACTAGATAGAAAGTACATGATGGTATTCTAGAGAACCGATTTTCGCAGACTAATCCTCAAAAGTTCTATGAACACAAATGTAGATCAGATTTATGATCAATATCAAAAATATACCTTGAAAATCTATGTTTTATTGAAATTGTATTACGGTTATGAGAGTACTTTGTGTCAGTAATCATGAATTACTAACACAAAGTACTCTCATAAGCGTTGGAACATGTTTTTCGGTGTATTTCACAAAATTGCACGATTCTAACGTCTTGAAACGTCGATAAAATTTTCCGATGGTGAAATAAAGAGTTTCGGCGTATAAAACAGACGTATAGAAACTTTTTTCCGTTGAATGCACTAATTACTATCCATTAATAAGAGAGATACATGTTAAATTATGGCTCTTTTCGAATTAAGACTACTTTTTTAATCCAATTAATAATTTTTAAACAAAAAGTGGTCTCAATTTAAAAGTCTCGTAAATTATAAAATATAGGTTAATAAAAATTAAAATGTTTGTGCGTCATTCATCTACTTTTATGTAGTATCATTCATTCATTCATTAAAACGATAAGCACTATATTAAATACAAAGACGTCATTCTATTTATTTATGAGTACACGCAACGATTTTATTAATGTACTTCATTAAACTTAAGAATAAAATAAATTATAATCTTATTCTATAATCTAGATTATACTTGGATAGAGAGATGATCGATCTCAATTCAAGTATCTTCAAAGGCTTTTGAATCATTTGCTTTTATCATTAAAAAAAGCGTGTACGTTTCTAATTATGAAAAAACTGCTTTAGATATGTCTACGATGAGAAAAAATCATGTTATATTTGCTAATAAACTAAAACATTCACTGTCTATGGAACGGAGAGGAAATCGAACAACTTTGAATAGCGGAGGCGATTTCAGAATATTTCTATTTATTAAAAACAAATATAAATGTTACATAGGTATATTTGTTCGACATACAATAATTTCATTCATTGCACTGAAAATTTTCTAGAAAAAATTTTAAGACTTTTTGAAATTTTTTATGTTCTGTGCATAAAATTTAATTATTCAATTTGAAATTTTCTTCTCCCTGTCAATTTTAGATTTACAAAGCTTAAAAGAAGGGTAAAATATAGACGAGTGATTGTATGATCGAAAAGTTGTTTTTTTCTTATAAAAAAAACAAAAAAAATCGAGGTATCATTTTGAAAAATGATGAATATCTATGTTACACAGTATATTAGATGACACCATACAAAGTTATTTTATTCATAATTAAGAAAAGTTAGTGTCATACGCAAATGTCTAAGGCGTAATGCCATATTTTTTCTGCTAGTGATGCCTTCTGTTAGTGATGTGTAAACATATTCTCAGAAATAATTAGTTTTTAAATTGAAACTATAGTAAGTATGTTCAATAATAATGTCAGGGTGTCTGGGTTTTTTTTTCCAGTTTGATACTCATTTTTCTTTATAAATATAGCTTTTAGCTCATTAAAGGAAAAATTGATCAAACGATATGACCTAATTGAACTCTTCTTCTTTCCCTTAAGATGTATTTTTCCTTGCATTCTTTTTATTTTCAAGTATTTTTTATGTTGAAAGACAAATGTGCACAATACAAAATTAAAGTAAAAACTGTAATATGGAAACTTATTATACATCATTAGATAGAGTACTTAGAACTGATTAAGACAATGTACTTTTTTTTAAAAAAATAATTTTTATAGTTGTGAAAATATTGAAAATGTTTGAAAAATCTAAAAAAAGTTGAAAAATCTTCAAAATTTCATTATACAAGTTTCAGATAACTATAAAAATTTCAAAATATCTTTTTCTTATTCAATATTAAAAAATTGAATAGAAAAAAATGATGTTTAATCAATTTCAATGGTTAAATATTTTTTGCATTGTATACGCCTTCAACTATGATGAGAATGTATGAACAATGAACAATAAATGACTAGTATTTATCAAAAATAAAAACGTTTTCTTTGTTCTATCTTTTTTGTAGAAATTCTCATGCAATATTGTGTGTAGATCATATCTTTAATTCTTTCTTCACTATAATGTGTCACGATAATATATCTTTTTTTTTTCTAATTTATTTTATATAGAAAAGCAATGTTGTGACATATTTAATAAAAATTAATAATTTATCTCTGACACTGGACACTATTTGATTTTTCAATGATTTTCTTTTATTTTTTTATTATTATTGTTATTATTGAAGATAAAAACTATCGATTCAATGTTTTTTATTTATAACATTAGTTTTAGTTTTTACTATAGGAAGTCAAATGAGGGCGTTCCACTCAAAAATATAATCTAGTTCTAATATATGTATATTAGAAATGACGGAATGTCGTGCAAATATAAAAAAAAGAAAAAAAAATTTTTTTTTTTTTCATACAGTTTGAACAACTATATTGTTTGGCTATATCTAATAATAAAATAAGATTTATTCTACATTCAATCATCTAACTATGTATATTTTTGATAGTAATTTTTTAATAAAAAACCTAGACAATATCTGAATATTGAAGTTTAATTAATTGTAGTTGAAATTTAAGAAACAATGCTAGAAGATTATTTTGTTTAACTTTAAATTAAGAAAATAAATGAGTCTAGTTTTAATAATCATATGTGTGAGAAGAAAAAAAAAATTTATCTAATGTCATTATTAAGTCAATTAATTATTCTTTTTTCTTGTTGATCAATTGAAATACACCCACTTTTTTTATTTTTGTATGTCATATTGACATTTATCTTCTTTATATTCATTTTCATAGAGTTTGATGCAGAGTCCATATTTTTCATGTAGAGTTCATTATATTTTCTTTTATAAAAGAAAGAAAAAACTGGGGAGAAAAACCATATGTCACTATCATTTAAGGGATAGACAATTAATTAATCAAAAGTTTCTTTTGATTCAAAGAAGAAAAAAGGTTATTAAATCATACACGTGTTTACTCTACTATGATTTCTATTTTAATTATGTTTGAATTATTAGGAAAAAGTTCAATAGAAAATGAAAAATTTATCATTAGCTGATCATGAGGAATAAAAATGTCAGAAATATTATTTTCGATAGAAAATTATCACTTTTTATTGTCTATAAAAGAATACGAAGAAAATCTAAACTTTAACCTTTGGAGACTTATTTGTTTTTAAACAAGGAATATTTTATTGAACATAATTTTAGTATTTTGACTATATCTCTGAGAATATTTGATTAATGTTTTTTTTTTTTTCCGAACAGGCTTAAGATAATTTTCTATAATAGCTCACAGAGTGGTACCCTATCGATTGATCACGACAAGATATTTTTTCTACACTTAATTTGCGTGATAAAAAACTTTTTATTAAAAAAAAAAAAATGGATCTAAATTTCCAGCTCGATTGTTCATGACGAAGGATCATGCGCGATAGAAATATTAATTACAATTTTAAAACTTACTTTGACAGATCTGAAATAAAAAGTATGGAGTGTATACCGATCTTTCTTCTTAAACGTATCATGCAACAAATAAACTCATTATTTTCGCATTAATCATGTTTTTCTTATATACCAATATTCAAACAAATATAAACAAAGTAAGAAACGAATCTTAACAGTCATCTTTTCATTCTTTTGAGTTACTTCCGACCTAGCTTATATTTGACATGATTATTTTCACCCTTATGATTAGTATAATAATTATCAACTTCACTTCTAACGATGATTTAGCACAAGATATGCAAAATAGAAAATGCAGAATCTTTGTAAAAATTTCGTGAAATAAATTGATATTTCAACAAAAAAACAAAGCTCAAATTTCAAAAATTGCAAAGGATATTTGAGATTAATCTTTTTATCAGTTTATCGTTCCATGGACAAAACTATCGGCTAATTCTATCTAAAACTATGACTCGTTTTTTATTCAAGTGAAAAGTCACGTTTTATATCATGTGAAACAAAATCATTTAAATTATCCTTAAATGGAAAAGTGGATTCATAAAAATAATAAATGATAATATTTTCGGCTTTTCCTAACAGCCCAAGTGGACGTAAAATCAGAATCGACTAGTATACCGACTAGTCGAAATTTTGGTCGACCAGTCGGTATGTGGTCGGATTATCGACTAGTCGAAATTCTTAACTAGTCGAATGGATCAAAATCGGCTGGTCGCCACTTTCACGACTAGCGGTTAACTAGTCGCTCAGTTCTCGACTAGTCGAAATCATAAAATTACCCATTCACCTTTTTCTGTTCCTGTTTGTACTACTTTATATAAACTATTGATTGTTAAAACATCACTGATTGTTAAAAGACAGCGAAATTTTCTTCTTCTTACTCGACTGAATAGGTCATCGACACTTGTTCTGAGTGAGAGTCGCAGTTCGGGCTGGCACTTGAATGGGACATCGATCTTGAGATAGATACTTCAGAAAGTGTCTCGAATCCCCCGTTTGGCTGGCTGCATCAAATTCGACTAGTCGTTTTTGACTTTCCGTCAATCCACGAAACGTAAAATCGGCTTGTCGAAGTGCCACTTTGCAACTAGTATACAGTCGAAACATGCCATTGCGGCCAGTCTGCTCTAATTAGATTATTCTAACTAGTAACCGACTAATCGATTCGGATTTTTGATCTTCGTCTTAAAAGGGATCTCTGAAAAATATGCTGAAGATTTTCATGATTTTTGACGAAAAATATTTCATATTTGCTATTAATATAAAGTTTTAAAAAACAACTCTATATTGTCAAAGCGATAACATTTTCCTACAACATGTCATCATTTCGATCTCTGTACTATCTAAACTGAGTGAAAATTGCGGGAAAACATGATTGCCCTATTTTGATTACTGTCGTGGCGACATCTCACAAACCGATGAGAGATAGAGTCGAAAAACATTTCATCACCATCTCTGATATGGTCATTGTTTGTTGAAAGTTTAATTCAGATCGGACTTGTAGTTACTAAAATAAATTTCTGACAGGGAGTAAGGCCTTAAAACAGAAAAGATGTTAATGATGAATATTAATTTGAAAAGTCCTGTTGCTGTTTTGAAAGTGAAGTAGAAAAAGGTCAAAAGTGTGCTGGCATTAGTTTGATATTTGTAGTATACTTAAAAGAAACATTATATCATTCTAGGTTTAAGTGTTGCTGTTGGTGTGTTTACATTAGTTTGTATTAGTATTGAACGTTACATTGCCATTTGTCGTCCACTATTGATATTAAAACTTCAATCTCTACCACTTGGCTCGTTAATGAACGGTCTTATTTTGGCTGCAATATGGTTTATTGGTGCATTAACAGCCATTCCAAATATTTATTTACATGAATTGAAATTATTAAAATCTGGTACACATAAGTGTGAAAAAGCGCCAGTAAAAGAATTTAAAGACACAACATACATGATGGCAGTGTTTGGTACGTATTGTATTTTTTACTGCATAGAATAACTTGTTGTTAATTTTATCTTTTTTAGTTCTTTATTTTTTGATACCAATGATTGTTATGTTGGTATTATACACTTTAATTGGATGTAAAATGTATAAAAATAGTACAGCAATGAAAATGAGATCATTTCAGAGTATGTACAGTTTTTCTTAAAATCATTTTTTGACATTTATTATATACTACTGACAAGTTTATCGAATATTTCAATTTTTCTAAACATATTTTTCATCATTTTTTCTCCTATTCTTCATTTAAGGTAGTTATCAAAGTAAAAATCGTTCCAGTAGTTCTTCTCCACCACAACCAAGTCCATTATTTTGTTCCAATTTTAATGGTGATGTTTGTCCAAGTAATACTCAAACGTATAGTTATGAAAATCTTCCGTTTACAAATAATGCAAAATCAGGCGTTGTGTATTATAACAGCAATCATAATTTTCGTCGTTTATCATCAAGAATGAGTAGTCATTCGAATAATTCAAGATCTGATGATGAAACTTATTATAATAATAATAATAATATCAATAGTAATAATAATCCCAGTCTTACGTCATCATCACGATCAAGAATTGGTGGCTCGAATGATTCTAAACCGTCTCAAACAACACTACAACAAAAACGTCAACAACGTTTTCAAAGAACACGAACTACATCAAATCCAATATTTCAACTTCATTCTAAAGACAGTAATAGTAGTCAACATAATCATCATCATTCCAAACACTCACCATCAAGATTTCATCGTTTTCTAAATACATTTCGTCGTTCATCATCATCAACACACGCTTATCGTTTAGATAAAAATCGTCGTAAAGCATTAAAAATTCTTATTGTAATTATTCTTGAATTTTTTATTTGTTGGACACCACTCTTTATTTATCATACTGCTGGTACATTTAATAAAAATATTTATAAACAAGTACCAAATGTTATAGTAAATTTAATTCTTTTATTTTCATTTGCATCAGCTACATGTAATCCATTTACATACTATTTTATGAGTAAACGATATCGTTTGGCACTCTACGAATATATTACATGTAAAATATGCTTTACAAATGTAAAAAAGAAAAATTCACAACAATTAATGTTAGCATTACAACAACATAATCAATTTTTGAATAATATTTATCAACATCAACAAAAACGACTCCTACAGAATGGATATGAATCCAATCATAATAATAATAATAATAATAATATTAATAATAATAATATTAACACTAATAGTACTAATACTACTACTACTACTACTACTACTAATAATAATAATAATAATAATAATAATAACAACAGAAGAAAACTGATTTTACTAAAAGAACTAAATAATAGATTTAGATCAAATACATTAGATTAAAAAGAAAAAAAACATTTATTACTTTTTTTGATACATTCTCAAAAGCCATTCATCATTGACAATAGTTTACCAACATAAATATTTTCTAAACGTATAATATTTTTTGTCTCCTTCGTTGTTTTTTCTGTTTATTTTTGTTGACTGTCAATATTTACGTACATTCATTTTTTTGTTTTGTTACCGTATCGTTAAAAATTCAATGTGTTGTTGTCTATTTCATTCAACTTTTTAGTGATAAATGTTCATGCATTTTTAAAACGAATTTTTAAGCTTTTGAACAGTGATCTTTTCTTTAAATAGCGGCTAGTCCGTGAGAAAATTGAACTATTTTATCACACTTATTACATCTATTTTTAGGTTTTTTTAATACCGGTGATGTATTTATTAAAACATTTTTTTTTTTTGTTGCTCAGACACAGTGTTTTAAATGCTAGCTGCTTTGTGATCGCAGAAGAAAAAAAGTTAAAATGAAAACTTTTCTATATTTTTGTATTATCTATGTATACCATGAATTTTGTACATACAAATATATTACTGTAGAACATGAAAAGTACATAAACACTTTTTCAGCTTTGAACACGTGTATCTCGAAACCAAGAGAGACTTGACATTTTCAGCAAATCTGTAAATCAGCAAGTTCTTTAACATGTAAAAATATCATCACTATTCGGGAAATTGTTTGAACCTTAGTAGAAAGATAGATCGACAAAAATGTCTTTTTTTTTTAATTCTGAATGATTCAAATAAATGAAAATTTCTTCATAGATATTAAACTTTTCTTTTTAGGGAGATTGTGTCTTGAAACGTTTTCTAGATATTAAAATTAATTATAAAGTTAAAGAAATTATTTCTAAGGTCTAATGTAGACGTTTATGTATACAAAGCTACGTCTTGTCTTAAAAGAGATACAATATATATATTTTCATAAGAGATACAAATCCATATTTCACAATGTAACAGTGAAATTTATTTTCGAACATACACCGGTGGATAGAGGACTTCATGGCGATCAAGAATATATGTGCCTGGATTTTTTTTTGACACTTTTCTCCGGTCGAAAACTTTTTCATCTTTTTAAAATTGTTTTTTTTTACATTATGTTACGAGACGGAACGAGATGAACAATACATCTATTCACAAAAAATTACGCAATATCCATGGCTTAAAAACGGAACACAATTTTGCAAGCCTATTACAGGTTTTTCTAGAGGCGCTAGAGCCAATATTTTTACATGGTTAGATGCTCAGCTTCAAAGTTAAGAAAAGCTTTTCCAAAAATTCAGTTTCCTCGCCGAGATAAATCATTTTTTCTAAATCAGAGGCGGAAAAGTCAGAATTCCAGCCGTAATTCCCAATTTCTCGATCAAAACTCAATTTTCAAGCAATAAAAATATTGTATTTAGAATTAGGATCAAAAACTGAGTTGACTGATGTGTATTTCGAAATTTTTAGTTGATTTTCAATTTTGGGTGAAAATCGCGGTAGTTTTTCAACGTGAAAATTCGAGAAACATTCAGGTAGTCGAATAGGATAGAAATACACGTCAGTCGACTCATTTTTTTCTTACATTAGCTCTCATTTCTATATTCCAAATAAAAATCAAATTAAATATGAGGTAGAAGCAATCGAGATTATCTTAACACCTTTTAGACGGCAAACGAAAAAAGTCGTTTTTTTGAAACGTCTGCAAATTCCATTCGAAAGGCCAATTTGCATACGTTTCAAAAAAACGACTTTTTTCGTTTCCCG